TATTTTAAAATATCCTTACAATGGCATTTGTAGGAAAAAAAATGTTGCTTATATGATTCCATTAATATCAAGAGTGGAAATATGAGTTTAATTCTTTCATTTGTGGTAATGTCTAAATTTACCAAATAAGGAAAGTTTCTCTTCACCCAAGTTTCAGTTGAACCAAAACTTGTAATCATACAAGTAATATAGTATGATAAATGAGAACTTTCAAGCATTGGAAAATTAAGACTAATTACTTATTCACATGGATAAGTGAATCAAGTGAAGGACTAAGGGATCGAGTACACATTCTTGTGCACTATTCAGGTCCACCACAAAAGGTCGATAAGACTATTCATCATGATTTACTAAAGCTTAGTAAATATGGTTATACTTACAAGGTTAAAGTATAATTCTGAAACATTGGAAAAGTTGCAATGTATGGCAGAGCGAATGAGAAGAATCAACTTAGGTAGAAAGATAAAAGTTTCTCAAATCTGAAAAGATGGGAAAGTACATTAGCATCATGTTTTGTGATCGTCTTAATGATTTAGAAATCATGTAACAATTAGTCCTCTAAATTCATCTTAGTGTTTTCTTATGACTAAGAAGAGGAATCTTGAATTGTTGAAATGATTAAATCAAGAAGACGAGTCATGCTTCATTCCAAAAACAATTCTTAGGATCATACTCCAAGATTGTAACTTAGGTGACATATCTTAAGGAAGGTTTCTTAACACTAATAAAATGTAAGAGTAGAAGTATCCTAATCGTGTACATTTGAAATTGGTAAGTTGTGATGTTTTGGATAAAACAAAGGCCAACTAAGGCCAATTGTGTGAAGTGTTTGTCTTGATAAAGAATCTGAACTATCTCTTGAATATTCGGCAAGATAGTCTTATATGTCAAGAGGATAGTGGGAGTCTTAAAGATAACAAAAAGAATTTCAAGATCTAATCAAGAATAAAAGCATGTAGTTTAACACTGGCACACGACGTGAGGTTTATAACCTATCGTGTTGACATATTTCTATTTTTGTGCCCATTCCAATTAAAGTTGGCTTTGCATATGAGTTCTTAGAGTTCTCAATTGGTTGCATAACAACTTGGAAGCAATGGCAGGCCCTTGAGCTGCCAGGTGGCAAGAAATTAAGATTGAGTTCGGTCCATATGAGTTTGGATTTGTCATTATCCTTGTCTTGTGACTAAGGTTATGACAATTCACATGAGTAAGAACACATACACCATAAAATCTAAGGGTCATAAGGTTTCTCTCCGATTCCTGAAAATGATGGCGAGGAAACACATCCACCAAGTAGACTTGAAGCAGATAGCAAAGATCTAAACAATTGAGACTATGATTATGGCATCCCTTTTCATAGTTCTAAAATTGTTTAGACACACCTGTGAGCTATCTAAGATAAGGTGTATGATTTTGATAAAGTATTATCGAGGCAATCTCGTCTTAGAACTCTGAACTTTGGTAAGAAAGTTAGTAAAGTATTGAGTTCTAGAAGTCCAGCTAATTTCTGAGTACATGTCAAAGCTAGTAGGAGCATAAGTGTTATGCTAATAATCATCATGTTAGTGGGAGCATGATGATTATAATAAAGGTTGCAAATTAGCAATGTTAATTATAGAAAACAAAAGTTTCAATTCGTGATGTTGTAGGGGTTAAAAAGTTGTTTTATATAATTAAGGGAGAGGAAATTATACTTCATTTCAATTCTAAAAGCTTAGATTGAGATTTTAATAATCTTTAGTCAAGAGTATATATGAATTTTATGTTGGTTTGGTTCAACTTAAGAAAATTCTATAATTTGCGTTCTTAAAATTCGATTATGATTACGACATCCCTCTTCATAGCCAAATTTTGAAAACATGGCAAATAAAAAATATTGTAGCAAAAGACTAGTCTAGAATCATGTCTTTATGTGATACATCATGAATCATGTCCTATTTCCTTTGGGTACAGGATCGATTGCATGTGTTATAATATTTATCCTTTCTAAATTTTCCAAATGTCTGGGGTATAAAGAGGAAAAGGTCTAGAATTGGATATTACTAAAATGATTAAGCAATTGTGGAGGATAATCTAAGGTTTACCGAATATTGGTTGCTCAGGGACAGTTAGAAGTATAATGTTAATTTTTGGAAGGATTGTATTGACATATTCTGAAAAGAGGCAACTCTTGTTCAGAAGTGATTAGTCAAAATGGGAATATGAAAATGATTCCATAGGTGGAAGTTATTCAATTCGTGTAAGATTAGAAAAACTTACTACAAGAAGGATGTTTCCCATGGAATTGAATACTCTATAATGTCTTTTTTACAAGTCTTTGTGACTTTGTACAAATTCATTACAAGAGGATCTGTGCTTTTAAGTTTAAAATCTAATAGATTTCGATTTGGGAGTGTGAAATTAGAATCATTGGAATTATGTTCAATTGGTTTATTTCACAAAGTAAGGATCATAGACAAACATAGAGTGCATACTTGGTGTATGACAAAGCTATTGTTCAGAAAAACATAGTGTACATGCTTGGAGCATGGGACAACTAGTGCTTTTTAATTCAAGTATAAAGTTGATAAAACCGAAACAATGAATAATGAGTAATCAGTATATTGATAAATAAAAGGTTTTTTATTTATATTCATAGTTTTTGATACCATATCAGATTCAATTATTCTTGTGTTTTATTTTGCATGTTTTGACTTCCAGAATAAACTAGGTCATTCTTCCCGAATGACTAAGTTATTCAAGCCATCCACAGTCGGTCATATGTTGGAAGTAGATATGAATCAAGACTGTCATGGGTTGGCTTGTAGAGGTCTATGATGTTGGACAAAGTGGTGCTACAAAACTCATGAGTACTCATAAGTTCTGAGTATTGGATTCAGCCCGTGCTCATTGGAATCACTTCTTGGATTTTATCACGAGTGACATGAGACGATAATATCTTATATTCTTCAAACCTAGAGATATGAGTTGTTACTATGAATTGATTGTACATTGATTGCACGAAAACGCATTGGTAACTCGATGTTATAAAATGTGCCTTTGTGTATGATTCAACAAGTAGTAGAACAAGCTATATGAGTCGAAGTTTATCCATTCCTTCTACCTTGAGGATAAAAGCAATATATGTGGGCCCCTAGATGATTTAATGATGATACATGTGAGTGCTTGGCCAAGTCAGGACTGATTTGATCTGTTCAATCAGTTAGTCATCATGAATCGGAAATCAGGAAACAACAATGGATAGAAAGAATGATTTATAATCCATGTCTTAGTCCATGTGATATCTAGAATGCAGGAATATATGATCCCTTATCTAATGGACAAGTCATTGACAAAGGTCAAAGATCATCGGCAAGGGCAGAGTTCGACATAAGCTTTTGAGAGTTACGATTGCTAGTCGGGTTATGAAGTCATACTTCCAATAACATTTTTTGACTTATCCAAGTGGGAGACTATTGGATTAATGTCTAAGTCCATAACTATAATTGGTAAGACTTGACCCGACCCGACATGGTCCATTTGGGTTGCATGGCATCGGGACAATTAGATAGACAAGATGAGGAAAAAGGATACTAACGATTTTTATTAATATATTATAAGTTCTAATATATTAATATATAATCATATGATTTAATTAGTATTGATCAAGAATTAATTTGGAATTAATTAAGTGATCAAAAGGAAGTAATTAAATATGGACTCTTAGATATATATGTGTGATGGGCCAAGTTCATTTAGGTTGGGCTAAGGTTTCATGGATAGTTCATGGAGTGTTTAACCCATGGATCATAAGAAATGAAAGGTCATGGGTATTAGGGTTTAACCCTAATCTCCACACTATATAAAGATGTCCTTGGTTGGTGAAATTGACACAAGTGTGGGTACACTAAGAGGGCTAGTCGATTTCATTAGAGAGAACCAAGTATTCTTATTCTCAAGGTTATTCCAAGTGTTCATGGTGTTTTGTGAACCATTTGAGGTGTAACACTTGGGGCACTAGGCACTCAAGCTTCATGAAGACAAGTTACAATAACAAGGTATGTATTTTATCTATTTTATTACCCTAGTATCAATGCTTTTGGTATGCTTGTTAGGATAATACCTTGGATATTCATATTTGTATGTATAATAGAGAAAACATAGATTCAAGGTATTTAGGGTTGCATGTACACTTAGGAGTGTTAGAATGCTGAAAACCCAACAGTACATGCAAACCCTAATAGGTTTTGGATCTAGTTTGTCTAATAAGCAAGCAATTGAATATCCAAAGCTATAAACCCTAGATCTAGCATACATTTAATCATATTAACAAAAAATAGGGTTTAGATCTAACCTTTGATTGTTATATAGCAATAACAATTTAATCCTTGGCTTCAGAAGGCTTAGTGCCTCAAGTGTTGCACCTCTAATGGAGTCACAAACACCACTAAGAAACAAGATGAAGGAGAGAAGAGAGGGGATGCACCAAAACGGCTGGAAACCCTAAAGGAACACTTAGACACGTTTTTGGGGAATACGGGTCCTTTATATAGATGTTGGCTATTAGGGTTTGCAACTAGGAAACCCTAATCTGACTGCTTAGGCCCTAAGCAGCCCATGGACTCCTTTAACATATCCCTTGGACGAATTCCTTATGGGCTTCCCATAGAATTTGTCCAACCTATCTTATTAAGTAATCCATAACCCAATTTCAATTATCTTATAATTACAAATCCAGTCCCCGAAGTTTAATTAATCTCTTTTAGCCACAAAATTAATTCTTGACTGGTATTAATTAAACATTATGATTTATCCTTTAATATATTATTCTCATAATATATTAATAAATCATAATTAAACCTCTCTCTCCTTAATTCATCCTACATATTGCTATGGTGAAGGCTACCAAAAAGGACCATGCTCATAATCGGGTCAAGTACATACCAAAATAGTTATGGACTTAGAAACTAATCCAACAAAAGCTCGGTAATGCTTAATGGAAAGAACGCATTTGTTGAATGAAGTGTCTGTATATACAAAATCACATTCAGAGCATCTTAACCAACACCAAGTTATTTTTTTATGAAGATTTGGAAGGGTTGAAGCAGTTGCAGGCCCTTCATGAGCAGATAGTGAAAGAAGCCAAGGAGTTGAAAGAAGAAGTAGTTGGTTTGTCGGAGAGGAACCAGAGTCTGGTGACGGATTTGAGTCAGTCTCTTGGTCAGTAAGAGGATCTAAAAAAGTTGAATCATGATTTTCAACTCAAAATAGATGCTTCCATGAGCCATCATGCTTCTGCTGTAAAAGAACTTAAGGGTGTTTCTCAGCAGTATCATTCGCTGAAGTCGCAATACACAGAGAAAGTTTCTCAGTTGGAGATGGCCTATTTAATCAAGGATGTTAGCATTAAGTTGCTGGAGGAGGAGTTGGCTATGGAAAAACTCCTGATGTTGTAGAAGGATTCTCGAATTTCCACATTGAATGATTCACAAATCATAATGAAACAGAAAGCAACAACTTGCCAGGCGGGTGTGTACCAGACGGATTAGAAGTTGCGATGGGTTATGAAGGAGGGTATTCCCCTTTTTGTTTTTGATTTATTAGATTTAAGCGATTTTGGTGCCATGAACGCTACCTTGCAAACGTCTTCTATCCAACTTGATCTCCATCAAGATTTTGTTGACATGAAGGAAAAGTACCCTGAAGTGTTGAAAGATAAGAGTGTGTTGTATTCATACCTGATTGTGCAACATTAGATTATTGAGCGCTTTTTTGAGATGGCAATACACAAGTACTCGCTTTTATCTGCTCTAGGGGGTGAAGGGATGGATGTGAGTGTTTTGAAAGAATTGCATTTGTTTTAGCAGTGATTTGAATATGTAATCGTAACTTTTGATTTTGACAATGCCGTTAGGCAGCCTTAGTTTGTTTTTTTTATCTTGTAATAGCATCCTACTGAATGACAATGAACTTTTTCTTTATGTGTTCGAATCCTTTTTCTTCATGTTCTTGTGATCGTAAGAGTTGTTTGTAGTTTTGATTATTCTTTTTATTGGACAGGGTTGACATCCAACCTTTTGATTCACTCGAATTGTTTATCAGACTCTGAAATGCTTTACCTACAAACTTGAATGTTATGCTTATCATATAATTCGATCCATCGGGCTCTAACCCGAGGCTCGAATGATGAGAACATTGAGGCATACTTTTGAAGCCTATGGCAATGTTTGTGGGTTGTTCCAATTACTAGACATGAACCTAAGGTTCAAGAAAAAACAACATTGAGCCATTATGTGGAGGATTATGGAAATGATTTTCAATTGCTCGAACCATTAGGCATGATTCTAAGTTCGGGTAAAAATAACATCAAGCCATAATGTGGAGGATTATGTCGATGATTTTAATTTGCTTGAACCATTGAGCGTGATCCCAAGGTTCGAGTAAAAATAACATCAAACCATAATGTGGAGGATTATGGTGATGATTTTTAGTTGCTCGAACCATTAGGCATGATCCTAAGGTTCATGCAAAAATAACATCGAACCATAATGTGGAGGATTATGGTGATGATTTTAATTTTCTCAAACCGTTAGGCATGATCATATGGTTCGAGTAAAAATAACAACGAACCATAATGTGGAGAATTATGGCGATGAGTTTAAGATGCTCGAACCGTTAGGCATGATCCTAAGGTTTGTGTAAAAATAAAATCACATCATAATGTGGAGGATTATGGTGATGATTTTAAGTTGCTCGAACCATTAGGCATGATCCTAAGGTTTGAGTAAAAATAACATCGAGCCATAATGTGGAGGATTTTGGTGATGATTTTAAGTTGCTCGAACAATTAGGTGTGATCCTCATGTTCAAGTAAAAATAAATTTGAGCCATAATGTGGAGGATTATGTCGATGATTTTAAGTTGCTTAATCCATTAGGCGTGATCCTATGGTCCGAGTAAAAATAACATCGAGCCATAATGGGGAGGATTATGGCGATGATTTTAAGTTTCATGAACCATTAGGCGCGATCCTAAGGTTCGATTAATAATAACATTGAGCCATAATGGGGAGGATTATGGCGATGATTTTAAGTTTCTCGAACCATTAGGCGTCATTCTAAGGTTTGAGTAAAAATAGCATTAAGCCATAATGTAGAGGATTATGGTGATTATTTCAAGTTGCTCGGAACATTGGGTGTGATCCTATGGTTCGAGTAAAAATAACACCGAGCTATAATGTGGATGATTATGGAGATGCTTTTAATTTGCTTGAACCATTAGGCATGATCCTAAGGTTCAAGTAAAAATAACATCGAGCTATAATGTAGAGGATTATGGCGATGATTAAGTTGCTCGGACCATTAGGCATGATCCTAATGTTCGGATAAAAATAACACCGGGCCATAATGTGGAGGATTATGGCAATGATTTTAAGTTTCTTGAACCATTAGGCGTGATCCTAAGGTTCGAGTAAAAATAACATCGAGCCATAATGTGGAGGATTATGGCAATGATTTTAAGTTGCTCAAACCATTAGGCGTGATCCTAATGTTCGAGTAAAAATAACATAGAGCCATAATGCGGGGATTATAGCGATGATTTCATGTTGGTCAAACCATTGGGCGTGATCCTAAGGTTTGAGTAAAAATAACATCGAGCCATAATTTGGAGGATTATGTAGATGATTTTAAGTTGCTCGAACCGTTAGTCATGATCCTAAGGTTCGAGTAAAAATAACATCGAGCCATAATGTGGAGGATTATGGCGATGCTTTTAAGTTGTTACCTTGGCTTATTCGTAAACAATAATACTGAAAGGAATGAAATATATCATTTTATAATATGTAATCGAATTACATCCAACAAAGAACAACAAAAGTTATGAATTCTAAAATGCCGTCATTGCTTTATTCGTTTCTTCCTGACCGCCTTGCATTACTACTTGCAAAAGTGGAATGTTCAGAGGTTACACATGTTCCACGTTCTTGGAAACCGGATCCCATCTAATGCCTTTAGATACACTCCATTAGTCTCACTTCGGGCACCTGATATGGCCCTTCCCAGTTTGGATCAAGTTTTCCATTTGGCTCTTGTCTACTAGCTTCCTTCTTGCGCAAAACCAGGTCACCCACCACATACGATGACTTTTTTACCTGGGTGTTGCAGTATCGTTCTACTAATGCCTTATAATTGGCTTTCCATATTGCAGCTTCTTCTACTTTTTCATCTAGCAGGTCCAAATTTTTTCGAAGATTTTTTGTGTTCGACCGTATTTCTGGGTTACTGGTTCGGGTAGTTCGAATCGTGACATCAATAGGAATGAATGCTTTTGTTCCATACACCAGACAAAAAGGAGTTTCTTTGGTCGATATACGCACTGTGGTTCGATATGCCCATAACACATGAAATAGTTCATCAACCCAATTTCCTTTGGCTTTTCCCAACCTATTCATAATTCCTTTTACTAAAGTTTGAGTTGTCACTTTTACTTGACCATTGGCCTAAGCATGAGCCACCAAGGTGAAGTTCTTCTAGATTTCCTTTTCCTGGCAACACTTCTTGAAGGGGTTCTTAGCAGACTATTTTCCATTGTCACTTATAATAGTATGGGGTAGCCTTAAGCGGCAAACACTTTTTCTCCATACGAATTTGATAACTCTTTCCCCGGTTATGATCGCAACTGCTTCAGCTTCGACCCATTTAGTGAAATAGTCGATTGCTACGATAAGGAATTTGAGCTTTCCTTGTGCTTCAGGGAAACGGCCCACAATGTCAATTCCTAACTAGAGTAACATCCATGGGCTTGTGATGATAATGATGTCTTGTGGTGGTAGGGTTGGCACGTTCGCATGTATTTGACAGTTATGACACTTCTTGATGAATGCTTCTGTGTCGCGGGTCATGGAAGGCGCGAAGTACTCTACCCGAAGGATCCTCTGAGTGATTTCTCGTAACCCTCCATGTGCTCCACAAACCCTAGAGTTTATTTCTTTCATTTCTGCATCCACTTCTTTGCTCGTGATACATTTTAGCCATGGGGTGGAATGACCCCTCGTGTACAGTCGACCACCATACATGGTACAATTCGGTGCATTAATTCGCATCTTTCTTGCCTCTTTTGCACCCTCCAGAAGTACTCATTTTTTCAGAAAAAAGGATGTAAGGTTTCATCCATGAAAATTTTCTCTAACTCCATGGTTTCACTTTGCGGTTTATCAAGACTTTTTTTTTGGAAATACCTCAACTAAGACCATTTCTGATAGGTGGATGAAGGCTAATAAGGACAGTTTACTTAAAGCGTCTGCTTCTTTTTTCTTTGATCGAGGAACTTGTGTGATTTCGAATGTTTCAAACTTAGTGGTCCACATTTGTGTTTGAGTAAGGTACTTCTGGATGTTCATTTCTTTCACTTCGTATGTTCCTTTAATTTGGTTGACCACCAACATCGAGTCACTAAATACTTTAATATGTGTGACGTTCATGCTTATTGCCAACCGTAACACTACTAGTAGAGCATCATACTCCGCTTCATTGTTCGAACAATTGAACTTGAATCGTAGGGCATAGGTCGACTTGTCTCAATATAGGCTAGTGAGGATGATTCCTGCTCCTGATTTGTCTTTGCTTGATGCCCCATCGATGTGTAATACCCACATTTCTTTGGTTGTGTTAGTTGGCATTTCTGAATGTTCACCAATGCCTTTGGGAGTAGTCATCATTGATGACTGTGAGTCATCCGATATTTTTGTCAAGAAATCAGCTAGAGCTTGCCCTTTTATGTTATATCGAGGTTTATATGTGATGTCTTGTTCCCCTAGTTCTATCGCCTATTTCGTCATTCTTCCTGAGCATTCTAGCTGTAATAGGATTTGCTTTATAGTTGGTTGGTTAACACTTCGATGGGGTGTTCCTAGAAATATCTATTAACGAAATATAATTACGTTAGATTAACTTCGTTCCGCCTGGCTGCATATACCAAGGATAAGACTAACTTTTTCACTTTAGATTAATTTCATTCTATGCCTTGCAATATTCCACTAACGAAATATCTCGGTACTTGCTCCGTTCCTCTTTTTGCAACCAACGTTGCGCTGATTTCCTCATGGATTGTTGACAAGTACACGGTTAACACTTCCCCTTTAAGAGACTTGCCAAGGTCGGCAGTTATTTGAGGCATTTATTCAATTTTTTGGAGCTAGTGCCTCTTCTACCTCATTTAACCATAGTATTTCCTTCTTCCCTATGATTGTCTTCAACTTCTAGAAGAAAGGTATCGCCTAGTCTGCTGACCTTTCCAGGAATCATCCTAATGCCGCCAACTTGCCATTAAGACTTTGTACCTCTTTCACTGTTTGTGGTGTTGTTGTTTTCGGCAAGCTTTCAACCTTTTCAAGGTTCGCCTCCATCCTTATTTCTATTACAATGTGGCCCAAGAACTTCCCTCTTTTCACCCCAAG